CTACTTGATTATGGTTGAGGGAGTATCTATAGGAGTAATTTAGAGAAAACTAATAAATATGAGAAATAGGTCTTCTATTGAGGATCAAAACCAACTCAACAATTGAGTCCTATATTAAGGACCGGAGGAGTAATTTTTTAATATTTTTAAATTAGTTAATTTGGTCTTATATTAAGGACTGAAAGTAATATAAAATATATTAATATTAAAAAACTCAAAAATAGAAACTCATTTTATCATGCTTTTCATTGAAGCCACTGAGATTATGGAGTCCATGCCATTGATGTTAATTTTTGTTACTCTATTTTTATTTCACAATAATGGTAGGAATTATGAAATGCTAAAAAAAATCAATAATACGTTTTAAAACGTGCCTCGTAATAAATTTAGGGAGAATATTTCTTCCTTGTTGCCACAACTGTGAAATTAAGATATGAGATGTCTTGTGAAAAAAAGGCAAAGAATACCTTCCAGAAAGTATCTTATAATGAAAAGATTAGATGGAGTATTTGTAGAAAATACTTTAGTCAAATTCTTTACTGTCATCATGTTAGGTTCACTAATTACAAATGACCATATGTCATTTTTTTAAATGTGAGTTTATAGTTTAATGATAATATTTTAAACATAAGACATTGTAACTATATATAATTAGAGAACTTGATATAATGAATATAATTGAAATGAAAATAGATTTTTTAAGTTTTTTAATTGTAATTTATCTTAAATTGCAAGCAACTAGATCACAATAATAAAAGTATTTCATGTTTCACACTTCCAGAAAGATGCTGCTTAATTCAATAAAAACAATCATTACTTTAAAAAAAGCTTTTAATGATGCTTATTAATGACGGTTTTAAGAAAAAACGCTACAAAAAAAAGATAATGATATTTTTATAATTATATAGTGGTAAATAATAACTTTTCACGACAGTTATATAGAAAATTATCGTGAAAAGTTATACCTTCTAGTAAATAATACGTTTTTAAGGATTGGACTTATCACAGCGTTTGCATAAGCACCATGGTAAATGCTTTTAATGGAGGTTAGATGGGTAATCGCTGTTAAATATTTTTTTAATGATGATTTTTTCAAAAACTGTCATTAAAAGTTTTTACAGTATTTTAAAACCCTGATCGCGTGATGAAATCTTTTTACTTTTTCGTAGTTGCCGCGGTCCTCCATCTCTAGCCCACCACCCGACTCTTCCTCCGAAGGTGTTTTTCGGCCAAACCCAACCATTCTCTGTCGTTTTTCACCATTTGTTTACCAGTTTGTGGTGGTTTTCGTTGTTCATTTGCCTCTTTCCAAGTTTTTGAGCATCGTTTACATAATCAGTTTGCGCCCCCCTTTTCTTCTTCAATTTTTTTTTGACTGTTTTAGAAGTTTGATGATACAAATTTATTATATATCAAATAGGTTGATTGATTTTACTCTTTGCACATTTGCATTGGTTGTTTTGAGTATACTATTTGTTTGAAGAGTTGGGTTGTGACATTTGGAATATGAAAACGTCATTTACTTGCTATCCACGACATGATTTGCATGTTGAAACCTTTATTGTTGATTAGTTTTCAATTTTGTAATTATTTTCATAATTTTCAGGTATTTTTGATAATTTTTTTTATGAACAATCTATTGAATGTTTGGCCAATTTTTTTCCCAGTCATGAACCTTGATTGATAATGAAGTTTTGCTTAAAATTTCATGACTAACGGATATCATTTGAGTTCTCGTGTTAAATTCAGAAATTTTACTCTGAAACATCTTTATTTGCTAGTTTGAGATTGTTAGTTTTGTTTTGTTGCTTGTAACTGTTGAAATTTTCTTTTATTTGCTCCTTCTATATTATTGGTTGAATTGAATATTGTGTAAAATATTGTATAAATTATTTAGAATTTTTTATATTTAAGGAAAAATTCTGTCAAAATTTTTATAAAATAAAAAAGGTATTTCTTTTCATTTGTAATTAAGTATTAGTTAATTTTATTTATTGATTAGTACTTAATTATTTGATTTATTTAAGTATTCTAATTAAGTAGTTAGAATTGAACTTGACAATTGTATTCACAGTTTGGGATACAATTGCAAATATAAGTTGATCAAAAAGGTTTAATCCCTTGTTTTCCCTTGCCTACTTTTACTAAGGTCGTTTTGCCGGAGCCCCCAGTTCCGTACAGTCCAGTCATGCGAACACCATAATTTTTGAGAGCAGCCAACAATTGCCCTGAAGCCAACTTTGTTGACCGGAAATACACAAAATTTTCAGAAGAAAAGTACTCTGCATCTGGGATTGGGACAGTGGTAGAAAAGGTATTAAATTCACTCCTTTGGTTGAGATTCTTTGTTGCCTCGATCATCTTTTGATTTGGGGGTCACCCATAATCGAGATCACTGTTGGACTGTGATGCGTACTAATAATACCGTTCCATATTAAATCTCTCGTCCTCTGGTAGTTTATTTTTCAACATCTAAGTTTAAATGTGGTGTTGAGTTATTGACGGTTGCATGGGCCCTCCTTCTCTGCCATTCAAGCTTTGACTTGTCGCTGCTTGGCCCAGAAGGCTCGCATGTTTACATTGGGAGTGCTTATTGTAAAATAATTCATTTGCAGAAAAAAGTATAACAAATTTGTTTAACCAAAAATCAAAATACATAACTAAGTTATGATATATAAAAATAATAAAATAAATGTTAGCGTTTAATATTATCAATTAACTAATTATTTAAAATTGTATTTTTATTATACATAAATTTTAGCCCCTTTATTATATATATACTACCTATTGTCTTTAATATAAAAGTTAGTTTGACATCTAATTTAATCTTAAATATAAGACTTCAAACTAATTTGTTACTCATATTTATTCATTTTTTTAAAAGTAATCCTTATAGTAGTTACACATTAAAAGTACTATCAAATAGTAGTTCTAGCTAATACATATGATTAGTAAAGGTATTATAGGAAAGATAACATCTAATTATTACAAATAACTAACTTAGTAAACTTTTTTAATCTACTTAAATTAGTCAACTAGTTCTTATATTAAGGACCCAAGTAGTATATTCTATTTTTATTAAGGATGGGAATACATCAATGCGCATTGCTAATTGACGAAGGAAAATATTGGTGCTACTAGGTCTTACTAATTTATTTAACACATTTGATCCATCCTTTTTAGAAACAACAGAGATGGAAATAGAATTTATGCCTGCAGTTGTTTTACAATCATGAAGACTCGATAATCTGTCACAAGCCTTAAAAAAGCCCTCAAAAGTTTCTTTCCATAAGCGTCGTGGTAAATACTTTTAACGACGATTACTTTGATAACTGCTGTTGAAAGATTTTTTAATGGTGGTTTTTTCAAAAACTGTCATTAAAAGTTTTTACAGAGTTTTAAAACCTTTATCGCGCGATGAAATTCTTTAACTTTTTCATAGTCTACATGGTCCCCCATCTCTGTCCCTACTTGACTCTTCTTCCTAAGGTATATTTCAGCCAAACCCAACCATTCTCTGCCATTTTTCACCATTCATTTGCCGTCCTCCGTTGTCCACGGTGGTTTTTGCCGTTCATTTGCCTCTTTCCAAGTTTTTGAGCGTCTTTTACATCATGAGTTTGCTCTTCCCTCTTCTTCAATTTTTTTTTCGATTGTTTGACGATACAAATTTATTATATATATCAAATGGGTTGATTGATTTTACTTTTTGTAATATTTGCATTGGTTGTTTTGAGTATACTATTTATTTGGAGAGTTGGATTGTGACATTTGGAAGATGACAACGTCATTGACAAGGTTTTAGTTCTCCCAATTTCAGTTTCTTTGTGCAATTCCAAACTTAAGTCATCTGCAATCTCACCTTGAATTTTAATGTTCACAGTTTGGGACACAGTTGCAAGTATAAGTCGATCAAAAAGGTTTAGTCCCTTGGCTTTTTTGCCTACTTCTTTTACCAAGGTCGTTTTGCCACAGCCCCCCATTCCATACAGTCCGATCATGCGAACACCATCATCTGGGAGAGCAGCCAACAATTGATCTGAAGCCAGCTTTGTAAAGTGGAAATACACAAAATTTCCAGAAGAAAAGTACTCTACATCTGGGATTGGGACAGGGGTAGAAAAGGGATTAAGTTCACTTCTTTCATTGAGATTCTTTGTTGCCTCGATCATCTTTGTCATTTGTCTACGCAAACAATATCTCCTCCAAGTTTCGTAATGCCACTGAAACTTTTGTTTTCTTCCTGTGTAATATACTTTGAATGGCCGCCTATTGCCCCATTGTGACCGGTTATACCGATTTATATTATACTTAATAAAATTATATTATGTTTAAAATTAATTAAATTTTTATTCAATACACATTGATTTTCTTTTTTATCAATATATTAAAATGAGTATAAATAATATAATACTGTGGAGCGCGCAATTCGCTTTTTCCCAGTTGCAAGCTTGTGACCATTTTATGACGTGCGTTTAACCACGAAGTGCCGATAAATATAACGGTGGTGTCGTCATATCTCATTGGCTCTTTATTTGAAATGTCCAAGCTATAAAGTCTTCCACTGCTTAGTCTTCCAAGTCTTCCAAGCTAGTCTTCTATATATGTATGTCCATCTTCTGCAACAATAAGTTCTGCTTAATTGACCCAAGAAGCAAGCAAGGGAACGGGCTCCGTGCCTTTTAGAAAGCGTGTAGGTCACAAATATGTGAAAACAGATCTATCCCACTGATCTTAAGCCACAAGACCATCTTCGATACGATATAACCTCTTCAATTTCCTTCTTCATCTTCGCTCTCTTTACGTGGAGCCAACCCTACCTATATAAATATATATATGTATATATATCCATCCAAAATTCATCGAAACTAAAGATGTTTCAACCTAGCCTCCTTTCTTTGATCATCACTTTCATGTTCTGGTTATCATGGTGGACACTTAAGGGCGTCGTTTCGGACCCACAGACCAATCTCTTGAGAAAAGTTTGCACTACATCTGGCATGGCAGACGTTAACGAAACGTTTAGGGACATCAGAGAGCAGATTGTGAGCATGAACAAGTGCTTTGCGACGGCGCAGCAGCGTAATAAAGAAGACCTTGTTTTAAGTCTTTTTCAGTGCAGAAACTACCTCTCCGTTCATGACTGTGTTGGCTGCTTCGACGCCGCCGCCAAAGAAGTCCGCAATTGCCCTGATGGCACGGCCGGCGGCCTTGTCATCTACGATGGCTGCTTCCTCAGGTACTATTGGTCCACTAATTCTTCGTCTTCTTGTTTTTCCAATTTTTTCCAGCCGCCAGGAAAGTTTGAAATCTGACCGTTTCTTTTTAGTTCTAATCTTTTTGTTTTTGAGGATGAGCTTTTCTTTTCTGAGTAGCAGATCATAGGGATAAAGTATTTTATTGGAGTCCACATGAGGTGCTCATCCAATCTATGAGCACTTCATGCTCAACGCCCAAACGACTTCGTTTTTGCAGACGTGGGAGGCAGCCTCAATTAATTTTCTCTCCACTCCACGTGGTGCTTCCATTTCTCCATCTACACCCTTTTTTTTATTGGGTTGTTACTAGCCACACCCTTTTTTTTTTTTTAAAGTTCACTTGATTTTTATTTTAGCATCTTGAAAATTAAAATAATTAAATATTGTAATTTTTTTATAATTAACACAAATATGTGTTTTAAAATTATATTTAAAATAAAATTAGGCTTCCTACAATATTTTACAAAAAAAAATCTTAGCAACACGATATGATTACTTGTAATTTTTAAAGAGATTAAAATACATCGAGTATTTTAAAATATTTTTTAAATACTGAAAAATACACCTAATGTTCCCAATATTTTCTAAGTAGTGTTTAGTATATTAAATTAATTTTTAATTCATTCAATACCTTAAACTATTTTTTAATACTTAAAAGATATTTTAAAATACTGGATGTATTTTGACACCTTTAAAAGTTATGGATAATCAAATCGTGTTGTTAGATTTTTTTTTTTAAATACTCTAGGAGCCTTATTTTAGCTTATATATAATTTTAAAATATACACACTACTTCTTATCCTTAATATAAAAACTAGTTAAAGTTTAAATTTGGTTTTAAATAGAAAACCTCAATCTATCTTATCTCACATCTTTTTCTAAAATATTCTTGTTGATTGTATGGAATTTTCACCAAGCGATAATTTTAATTATCTAATATACATAATTGAATAGGATAATTACAATTTTTAATTTTTAAAATTTTAAAGATGCTAAAATAAAAATCAGGTTTTTTTTAAAAAAACTAAACTGTGGCTAGTAACAGCCTAATAAAAAAAAAAAAAACGAGAGAGATGGAGAAATGGAAGCATCACGTGAAGCGGAGAAAAAATTGATTGAAGCTGCCTGCAACCCGCACAAAAACGAAGTCGTTTGGGCGCTGAGCATGAGGTGCTTGTCGATTCGATGAGCGCCTCATGCGGACTTATTTATTGCTAGGTTTATTATACAGTGTTTACATGGATTTGCCTTGCGTACTCATCAGTTTTGATAAGCTTCTAATACTCATCAGATTTAGATAATTCAACTTTAGTTTTAGTTTTATTTTTATTTTTTTAAAATAATTATTTTAATAGGTATAGGATAAAAAAGAAAAATAATCTCTTAACTGCCATTCTTTAAAAATATGATTTTTTCTATTTTAAAATAATTATTTAAAAATATTAAATCTGGACTGTCTAGATTAAATGTGTACGGTCGAGATTGCTCATCAAGTGATGAGCACCAAATATGGACCCATGTTTACATTCAGTGATTAAACTTTAGATCAGTCCAGTGACAAACCAGATGTAATAAAGCCATGAAAAGAATGTAGAGATGTAAGAGAAAATCAACATTGGTTAATTTTATAAAAATATTAAGGTTCCATCCACTCCTAAAGTATTCTTCCATATGCACCTAACATCATTAACTTTTTTCAAATGCAAAGTACGCATGTACTATTTTGCAACCTTCATGCTGCTTTTACACCTCAAAAAAATGTTGGTGTTAGGCCTCATGGAGAAATATTTCATGGGTAAATTCGGAATTTAAGGCTTTATAGAATGCATGATTCCATAATTAACATATATTTATTAATATGAAAATAAAATTGATAACCATAGATTTGTAAATTTGGATTATATAATAAAGTTATATTTCTATTTGAATCTAAAATTTAGAAATTTATGTATATACAAATATTTTATTCCAGTTAAAAACTTCATTGTAAGAAAAATTATATTAGCTTACATGGTTTTTTTTTGTTAAAAGAAAAAAACTCATGGTTTTATTAGCATTAGAAAAGTAATAATCTTGATCTGTACAGAGCTAAACTCAAATTGAACTTGGAAAAAGGATACGATGTATACTTTTGTGTGTTAGGTACGCCGCCGATGATTTCTTTGAAGAAACAACGGAAGATTTAAATGCTGCGTCGTGTGGTAACCAAACCATGACAGAATCCAGTATGTTTGCATCACTTGTGCAACAAGTGCTAAAGACTCTGCGAACAACAACACCCAAGAACCAAGGGTTTTTTGCGGCCACAAAGATAGAATTGCCTGATAATAGTACAACTATTTATGCCTTTGCTCAATGTTCTGAAACTATCGGTCAGACACAATGCTTCAATTGCTTGAACACTGGCTATAACAATATTTTGCCGACTTGTCTTCCCAATTCGGAGGGTAGGGCTTATGCTGGTGGGTGCTTTATGAGATATTCCACTACCTCCTTCTTTCCAGATAATTACCAGACAGTTCATATTACTCCCATGGGCAAACAAGGTACTCCATTGTTTATCAAATCCTTATTTGCAGAAATTTTAGTTAATTACTTTGGTGATTTCACAGGTTTTTTTTAATGATTTTTTTTAAAAAAAATATGTCTAACTCGTTTTTTTTTTAATAATCATAAAGAAAATTCAAAACCAGTGCACCATTTTTTGCCTCTAAGATATCAAAATATCTGTTTTTTTAAGAATCTAATAATCAAAAGAAACAACAGAAAAAAATTTAGAAAAGGAGGGAAAGACTAAGGAGCAGTAGAAGGGGTAGCTGACATCGCAAATGCCTCAAAATGACAATTTGGTTCATTTTCTTATGCAGGGGCAATATAATTCTGAATCTCTCAAGTTACATTATATGTCTTATTTCAGTGCCCCATTAATTATTAGACATGGATATATATAGACTTGCATAAATGTTGACTCATTTGAAAGTGATGAGTTCCCTATTTTTTATGTCTTGCAGGTTCAAACAAGAAGGGGACCATTATAGGTGTAGTTTTTGGAGGTGTAGCTTTTGCTTTGATCCTTCTTACACTATTAGCTTGGATTAAACAACCAAAAAGGCCTGAGAGACCAGTTCCTAGAGGTAAACACCTTGAAAAATGTGGTCTACTGTATCATTTGTAATGATTTATTGTGATAATTTGATCTCATTTTCCCTTTAAAAGAAAACGTTAGGGACGTTAATTCATCTTTATGAACAAATAAAGGAATCCCTAGCTGCTGCTTCTTAATTTATGAAGAGACTTTATGTGACTAATGTTTGCCATGACAGGAGATATATCTGGAGTAAGTAAGTTGAAAGGCCCAATTAATTTTAGTTATAGAGAGTTGGAGTTTGCAACTAAAAGTTTCAGTGCAGAAAATAAAATTGGAGAAGGAGGATTTGGTGCTGTATATAAGGTAACTATATATTTTGATTTTAAATATTTTGATCTCGATGATGTTCCAAGGCAAGGGCGTATTAAGGCAGTACTTTCATATACTGTTGCAAATATGCAAAACTTACTAGCAATATTTTGAGGATTGACATTCTTAATTTTCATAAATAGGGTACTCTGAAAAGTCGGAAAATAGTTGCTGTAAAGAAATTAATCATACGCCAATCTGGGAAGGTGGAAGAAGAATTTGAAAGTGAAGTGAAGCTTATAAGTAATGTTCATCATCGGAATCTTCTTCGGCTTCTTGGATGTTGCAGGAAAGGAAATGAGAGAATTCTTGTTTATGAATATATGAAAAACACCAGTCTAGACAAATTCTTATTTGGTATATATATTTTATCCTCCAACAAAGCATATATATAGTTCTTTAATCTTTAGCTATTGAATTTCTTTATAAAATTATGACATGTGGGCATATTTTCAACTAACAAATATATCACTGACTCCTTCGATAATAATTCATTCACATGTCATAGTTTCATGCAAGAAGTTCATAAACAAACATGTCAGAAACATCTTTTAATAAATTATTTGATTCTCTTTCCTCAATGTTTCATGTAAATTTGTGAAATAGGTAAAAACAGAGGTTCTCTTTGTTGGAAGCAACGGTATGATATAATTTTAGGAACAGCAAGGGGTTTGGCTTATCTACATGAGGAATTTCATGTACGTATCATACACAGAGATATAAAAGCTAACAACATTCTCTTAGGTGATGATCTCCAACCAAAAATTACTGATTTTGGCTTAGCAAAGCTTTTACCTAAAGAAAAATCTCATCTTAGCACAAAATTTGCCAGAACATTGTAAGTAAAAAATTCATGTTGATGACACACATGATGCCACACATTACATTGTATCTGTCTATTTCATATTCAAAATATTGGTCATGCACTAATTTGAATCATTAACTACAACATAAAATTTTATATTTTACAGAGGATACAACGCACCGGAATATACAATTCATGGTCAACTATCGGAAAAAGCTGATATTTATAGCTTTGGCATTGTACTCCTAGAAATTATCAGTGGTGAAAAATGCAATGAATTGAAGATTCGCGATGATATTGAAGGTGAATTTCTACTTAAAAAAGTAAGAAAATTCATATGAAATTAAAAATAGTAGTTTTATTCGAGTGAATTTTAATATAGGGCTGTTTTAACCACACAAATTTCCACTTTTCTTGTTTGCCCTTTTTATTCCATTTCCTTTTAATTCACATGACAGGCTTGGAAGCTATATGAGAGAGGCTTACACATAGAGTTGGTGGATAATACCATGAATCCAAATGATTATAAAGTAGAAGAAGTGAAGAAAATTATAGAGATTGGTCTGCTTTGCACTCAAGCATCTGCTGAATTAAGGCCATCAATATCTGAAGTAATTGTTTTGCTCCAAGGCAATGGCTCATTGGAGAATATGCGACCCACCATGCCTATCTTGATTGAAACTTAAAACTAGGGGTCCCTGTGTGACATCTATACCTTTAGCGCTTCCTTTTACATCAATTACCATGGCCTTTACTTTCTTGCTACTGGCAAATATTTTCCAAGAACTGTGGCTGAGGGTGACTTCTAATTTTGAACCAAACAGGTAGAGAATAAGGTAAAAGACCTCAGCTTGTGCTTGGAACAGAAACTTGTGGTTTATTGTAGGGATCGGAGTTTGCGGACACACAAAACTATTTTGGGAAGTCTTCTCGGCCGGATGTGGCTCTCTAATCATAGAAATGAGCTTTTTTGGACACGTGGCACACAAAGACCTCAGCGTGGTCTTCTTATTTCACACACACACATATATATATATGGGAATATAAATATGGATAATTGCTTTTTTCTCATCCTCTCTAATCCACTCATGAATTCCATTGCCCCTTTCAAATGAGATCCATCTCTTAGTGTGTTCTCCAACAAGACAATATTAATTCCTTAGGCTTCTCATCTAGTCAGTGTATGGTAAATAGTGTTAGTATTTAAGCCCAACACCAAGTGGATGGCATGTTCAATAGTTTTGTAAAACCCATATCACCAAATTAAGGATGATTTTATTGAGGATTCATCAAAGATTAAAAGCAAGAACACCTCAAGGTTATGTTGACGTACTACTGTAATAGTGCCTGGAACATGTTCAGAAATGCTCTAAAGTTAAAAACTTTAAAAGGCCTTTTTTTTTTAAAAAAAAACTTTCAGGAGAGACAAGAAACAGTTTGAAGAAACATAAGAATGCCAAGTTAACAGAAGATGCATACAAGAGTACAGTAAGAGACAAATATCACTACCATTACGTAAGCCTACCACTTCAGTAACTAAATTTACTTCACAACATGAATAAAAACCTAAATGAAGAGCTTCTAAATAATAACTGATTGATGTATTACCTCTTAGCCACTAACCTGTGACTTTTCTGCTCTGTATTTCGAGTTGATGAATATGTTGGATGTGACTGCTTCAGCATCTCAGTAACAAAACCAGAACATGGACCAGATGCATTCCCAAGAGTATGGTTGCCCCCACAGAGACAGAGACAGAGAGAGTAGAAAGACAAACATAAATCCCTTGCTTACAAATTCTGTTCATTAACATAATTTTGGACGTATATTGAATAATTGGAGGTATGCACTAGTAAGCCGTGATAAGGCATACGTGCACAAGGTACTTGGCTAACCAATTACCAGAACAGAACACGGTTCAAACAAAACAGTAATTCAGTAACAATTAATTGAAGTTCCAAATGCCACTTCAATGTTTTATCTGAAAATAAACAGGAAAGAGGGCAGAGCTTGGGTTCTTCATGTCGGAGATTGTGATAGGCTAATCAATTGGATGTGTAGACATTATATTTAATTTATTAAAAGAAGTTTTATCAAATGTTTATTTATTATATTGACTGTGAAATTGATGAATCAGCACAAGTTTGACTAAAATAATCTGACCTAGCATGTCTAATAAGCAGGTGACATGGCTTTTCTTGTTAATTCCATTGTTTTGTCTGAATATTACTCCTCTGATCTTATTTATAAAACACTTCTAGCATGTTTCACACAGACCAAGGAAAACCCTAAATTTCATTAACTCTCATTTAAATTTTAATAACTTTTCAACTTTATCCCTATTTAATATACCTTATACCTCATATAAACAAAGTCAATACAATAATAAATGAGGGGTAAATTTGTACATCCATACAAAAAAAATTTCTCAGTGCCTTATAAATAGGACCAAAAAATATCTTTTCTCTCTACCCTATAAATAGGACTAGAGGAGTATTTCTGAAAAAATTTCTTACTCTGAAAAAAATTCCAAGAGCCAAAGAGAGCATTTACTGAACAGAGAAAACAAAGCAGTGGCAGACGAAAAAAATTCCACATCACCTGCTTATTAGACATGCCAGGTCAGATTATTTTGGTCAAACTTGTGCTGACTCATCAATTTCACAGTCAAAGTAACAGATCTATTAGCATAGGATACCGGTGCACCATTTTAATTACTTTGAGGGCAAAATTGCACCATAAATTACTTTAGGCCGCTGGATGCACCTTAACCCCAAAAAGATTCCACATCACCTGCTTATTAGACATGCCACGTCAGATTTTCTGGTCAAACTTGTGCTGACTCATCAATTTAACGGTCAAACTAACATATCTGTTAGTATGGGATACCGGTGCACCATTTTAATTACTTTGAGGGCAAAATTGCACCATAAATTACTTTAGGCCACTGGGTGCATCTGACAAAATACTTGGGGGTGCTGGGTGCACCTTAACCCTAAAATATATTAAATCAATTAATAATCAAATAATGCCAAAAGGATTAATTAAGTTGACAAAACCTATAGAAAAGATATCAAAATATATAAAAATAATTGAGTTTGTCAGTAGGTGTGTGCTGCAGGTTCAAGCCCGCTCTCTTCTAACTCAAAAGAGAAAAAGAAAAAGAAATTATTCATATTCAATAAATATAAAATGTCTCCATTCACTGTAGAAATTTTTTATTTTTGAAATAATAAAAATGTAGAAAATCTTCTAATCGAATATAACATTATTTATGGTGAAATAATGTTATCTTATTATTATGTAAAAATGATAATATTGTTTAATTTAGGATTCAAAACCCTTAGAAAATTTATTCTAAAATATGATATATTTGGAAGATCTCAGATAATATGCATAATTTTCTGAACCAGATATCGTATCTCTCTTTCGATGGGGTGGATGAATTTTATGTATTTGATGCATAAATTTGGTGTATAATTTATTATTTAATTTAAATATAAAATTTAAGTTGAATAAAGATTTATCTCAATGAGGAGAGAGGCTCACCAGGGTGACGATAGAGAGGCTAGGGCTCCTTGAGAGTGATAAAATCATTAAAAACCACTTATAGAGAGAAAAATGCTAAAAGTAATAATAAAAGATATTTGTCACTTGGAAAATAAGTGTGACCTCTTTGAACAACAAAATCAGTTATAACTTATTCCTCCAGTCCTAAATATAAGACCTTTATACACACTATAAAAAGAGTCTTATATTTAGGACCAGAAGGGTATATAAATAGAAAATCTCAAGGTGGCACCCATATGGAGAGTCTTGATTTTGCTTTACTTGCTAAACAAGTTTGACGGCATATTTATGGTGATGATAAGTTACTTTTTGTTGAGGTCCTGTCATCTAAGTATTTTCAAGAGATTGAGGCAAAAACAAAAAGTATTTTAAAGGGAGATTAGGGGTGATAACGAATTGCATTTTAATATGCCTTGGCTCTAGAAAGGAACTTTTAGATACTAAGAAGCTTTCACCAATAATCTTAATTGGAGGATTGACAATGAAACACTAATTTCTTCTTCTTTTTTTTTGACCAAAAGATAAACACTAATTTCTTTGTATTATCGTGTCTAGCGAAAAATGCAGCCAACTCGCCCTGTCACATTTCTCACTTCTTGGTGGATCTTAAATTGCCTAACCAAAAGGTATCAGGAACTCCAAATCTGTTAATGTTACCTCTAATTTGCCTTTCTTCGCATGGAACTCGAGATCGTAATGTGAGTCTTACGTGAATAGTCGACTAAAGCGTATTTCCTCCTTCTCAACATAGACTTGTATCTCTTTAATTCCTCCTTTTGGAAGCATCTTTACAATTTATAATGCAACCTGGACAAACATCAGAGATCCTTTTGGTGGATTATTTGAAGAAAACCACGGAACATCTTTTTCTCTTGTGCAGATTTGGGAGTTCAGTTTTGAACATTTTCGCTCTGCCTACTGCTCCCTAGAAGATCTCTTCCTTGGTTCCTGAAACAATTGTGGAATGATGTCCCGTATTCTTGATTTTATGTATTTATAATACTTTTGATTTTTTAAAAAAGAAAAGAAAAATTTCCACTTAGTTTCGATCCTCATTCACGTTATTTGAAATACTGATCCATGGACTACCAAAGAAAATCTTCAATCGATCGCTTTAATTTTCAGTACTTAAATGCTTAGACTTGGCTTTCCCTGCCAAGAGAAGCTTAGCCTATTAATAGAATTTTCTTGCTTTTGACGTTTAAATTCAGCTATAGAATTTTCAACCTCTTTGACAAGATCCTCGGTAGCAAACTGAAAGTGATAAATATGCAAAAGTTAATAAGCCAAAACGTCATCCAGCCGCACTCCATAGTTGATTAGAAGGGTACTATGTAAAATAAATATTATTTCCAACACACAGGGAATTCAATTGCTCTGACAAATGTCAGCTTTTTGCTATTTAGCAAAGTGAGAAGAAATTCTTTCTTTAATCACCTCAGGAGAACTATGACAACATAAATTTTCATAATCTAGGACGCTATAGAATTAGGTTAATTCCTAAAAGAAATTAAGTAGAAATTCTAGTATTCCAATTAGGGCCTTCTTATGAAACAAATTTTTCCTTCTAATTCAGGTCTGATTTTGAACCAGTCTCTTGATTGAGAATTGGAGAAGGAATGAATAAAATCAGGACTTTGAGGTCATTTTCTCCACCTGGGTGCTTGAATTAGATCTAGTTTAATTTGCAAAATTTATGGATTTTCGGTGTGTTTCACAGAAACAAGGGCTGTTTGGGAATTAAGGATTAACTCTGCATGAGAAGGAGGAGGAAAAATAGGCAAAACCTCACTTTGACTCGTGTTACGTCTTTGGCTAATAAATATAACATTGGAAGGAGGAAGTTGGTAAATTACATGTTCATCATTGGAATTTAGAAAGTTGAAATGCTAATCAAGAAGTTGAATCATTCAACAGGGAGAGAATCAGGCACTTGGAACCAAAAGGCATGTTATAGTGAATTTGGAAATCTTTAAATTAACCACAAATTTTGAAGCAATATATTGATTGGTGAGTTGCCTGTTAAATTAGAACGTCTTCAATTCTGAGCTATGATGTTCCTGAGGAGCAGTATTCTCATTAAAGTCAAGGTTTACCAACAAAGAAGTGGGTCTCA